CCGCTGACCACAAGATTGGCAGTTCAAACCCACCAGCTGCTCCTTAGAACCCCATACAGGGTTGCTGTGTGTTGACACCAACTCAACAGCACTTAACAAACAGTAAGCAAGAATCATAGAAAAGTGGGACCATTATAAAGTCTTTGTTAATCACTGTGGTCTATCAGAAAGAATACAGTTCAGAGTTCTGTACTGAATGTTGTCTCTATTATACTTCACTCGCCTCTCATTAACATTCTTGAGATAAGAAGAGGAAAGGAGTAGGATGGCACTGACAGTGAATGTTCATAACTTTCCCCTCCCTTATTCTTTCCCTGTTTTTCCAAATGAGAGTGGGGGAGTTTAAATAGGCAGGCCCTTTGTCCAAATTGGAGAGACGGCAATTATTTGGAGAAAACTGATTTGAGGAGAGAATTAAATTAGTAACTTTCAAGCTAGCCCTATTAGTATCTGCCATTGTTGTTTTCCTTGCTAATTTTGATATGTTGGCTTTAAGACGGTATGCATTGATTTCATATTAAGAAGAATTTCTTTGGTCATTTTACTTTGGATTAAAGGGTTTTTAGTGATTATCCAACAAAATCATAATAAAAGAAAAGTCAAAGAACTTGAGGTTCCGAAAAGCAAATAAAAACTTTAGGAGTAGGACAAAATTTTTTGTTATATTGGAAATCGAAGTAAATTATTTTTAGACTAATTTTTAAAATACAGTGTTGGTCAAAGCTAAGACAGTAGATATATAACAAATAAACATTTAATCCTGCTTCTTTTGCTTATTTTTTATTAACATGAATACAGGTGCTTCATAAGAAAGGCCCAGTGATGTATTTCTGAAAAAATTTGCCACTAGAAACCCGGTGAAGCACAGTGCTACTCTGACTCAGATGGGGTTACTATGAGTTGGGATCAGTGTGACAGCAACCGGTCCCCTAATTGGGTTTTAAAAAATTTTCCCCTCTCCCTTAATCTGTTCTTTATTATTCTTTGTGACCTTGCATTTCATTAAGTAGAATTTAATTGCTTTCTGTTTTCAAATCATGATGGTGCACTGGCATGATCAGATAGCCAAATTATTGGAATGATATGTTACAATGTTATGGGGAGGTCTGAAAATTTGCTGATTATCTTTTTACCTTTAGTTTTAGTGCAATCAGTTTTGAGTTCAAGCCTTACGAGGTAATTACTGTAATAGGTGAAGAATAACTTTCTAGCCTTTTAATCTCACCCCTCTCTAACCTTCTTTATTTACCACTTTCCATTCACTAGTATTTCTCATCCTCCTTTAACATGATTTTTTTAACTCCTTATCCCTGCAATAAAGCTGCAGTAGTGATGGATCTCATTTGGCTCTTCCACCTATAGTCTTTGTAACTACTGCCAAACAACTTTTTTTCCTGATGGGTCTGGGTAAGAGAAGGTGGGAGAAAATACAGACTGAGTATGTGACTCAGTTGAGAGTGATTGTTAATAGGGTTTATTGTGATGGGTCAGTTTAGCCATCATGCTGGGTATAACATGAGCCATCTCAGAAGCAGGAGAGAGGAGGATGTCATTACTATCCTACTATCAAGGAGGAAGACCTAGGAGTAGGGTTAGAGTTCTTCCTTTGGACCTCTAGTTCCTTTTACATTGAACTTCCTCTATCGAGGTACAGAAAGCTATGATAATCGAAGAGTTATAGAGGAGCAGCAGTAGCAGAACCAAGAGCCAGAGCACTAGATAGAGAAGTATACTGAAATAAGTAAAGTTGAGTGCCTTTGGGGAGGAGGCACCTTGTGGTGTGGGTGCCTCCAGACATTTACTTGGAGGAGCTGGAGCTGAGCATCTTCAGGCTGAGGCTTAAAGCAGAGTGGAGTGTCCTTTGCGTATCAGGGCAGAGGCCAAGGAACTAGAGAGAGGCCCACCTGTGGGTGCAGCAGAGAAGAGGCTATCCTAATGAAAGAATTGTATCTTGAACATTTCTGGTCTTGCATTGTAACCTGTTGACTTCCCTGTAAACCCCAGAACTCTGAGGATGGTGTCTGAGTTCTCTGTGGCCATTGCAGTGAATTCACGAACCCAGCTGAGTAGAGGATGCTGTGTGAGGAATATTTTCTCATTTTTTTTGTGTGTAAAAACCTATCAGTATACAAAGGGGCTTAAAAAGGTATGTGGAAAATTTTCATTGTATTTTAACTCCATTTTTCCATGAACTTTTTGAGACTCCCATGTAGAGTGCATTGGTACTTATCTGAAGGTTATCTATTTTCTATTTTTTCTTGCTCAATTTTGATTTTTTTTTTTTGATATAACTTTTTCCTCATTTGGAGAATGAAATTCAGTGTTTGTTTTGTCAATATATGTTGGACCTCTGAGGGCTTTTTTAAAAGTTGAATCTCCTAGAGCCTCTTACAGTCAGGAAAGGAAGTAAAGTTGGTAGAAAGTAGATTTTGCTTATATTAGCTATTGATTAGATAAAAAGAAAATAAAGGGTTGAAGGTGGCATACTGAAAATCATATTAAAGCTTCGCAGGTGCTCTGGAAAACTTGACTGAAAATAGCCAAAGTAAGTATGTCTTGTCTTTTTCAAATATAGTACAATTTAAGATAGAAGATTATTTATCCTTATCCTGGAGTTTAATATCAGAATGGAATCCTGGTGTGGCGCTGTAGGAAAGCTCCGGACTGCTAGCCACAAGGTCAGCAGTTCACACTCACCAGCTGCTGTTCAGAAACTCTATGCAGGATCACTATGAGGGAACCAACTTCACAACATTTAACAATAATAAAAATATCAGAATAATTTTCTGTTGTTGAAATAATATATATATTTTTTGTTTACATGTGTGTGGTAAATCTCTTCTCGCAGGTGATGTATGTTTTTACTTAATGTTTATTTCACTGAAAAATTATTAATTTTAATATGAAAAACATTAGTATTCTCCTGTATTGTTTGTTTTTTTTAAAGTCTTTTTAAGAAAATATTTTACTTGAAGTTACAAAAACATTCTTACAACGTCGTCTAATAGTTTTAGTGTTGTTTATCACATTAACATTTTTAATTCACCTGGGATGGGTTTTGAGTATTATGTGAAGTAGGGTTCCAATTTTGTTCCCTAATTCCCAAATTTAGAACATTTGATTTAACAAGCATCCGTGTAGCTTAAGATATCATCTACTAATAATTCTTAAACTTTTTATTACCATTGGGATAAGACCCCTTGCTACTTTACACTCATTGAAACGTCTGTTATAACTGGCATGTGTGTTATGATCACATTGGTGGTTGTTTATATTTTTTCTTGATTAGTTGATGTGTTCATTGTGATTAGTCAAGTGTGTACCATTTTGAGGTGTTTTCAGAGTCACTCCTGCTCTTTGTTACTCTCAATCTCAGATGACATAGAACAGGGATCATTGAACTCTACAGCACATGGGCCAAATCTGGTCGTCACCTGTTTCTGTAAGGTCCACAAGTAATGAGGAGTTTTGGTGGTGTAGGTGGATTATGTGTTGGGCTGCTAACCCCAAGGTCAGAAGTTTGAATCCACCAGCCACTCTGCGGAAGAAAGTGAGGCTTTCTGCACGTGTAAAAATTTACAGCCTCAGAAACCCTATTCAGGATTGCTATGAGTCAGAACAACCACCACCACCACTGCTCTCTAGGAGTCCTGGTGTGGCGCTGTAGGATAAGCACTGGACTGCTAACCACAAGGTCAACAGTTCCACCCCACCAGCTGATCCTTGGAAGCCCTATGCAGGGTCTCTGTGAAGTTGGAGGATTCAACAGCACTTAACAACAAAAATGTGGATAATAAGATTGTTCGCCGAGAAAGTGACTAAATGATTAAAAATCGATGGAATATTTTGTAATAAGTTAAAATTATATAAAATTGAAATTTTAATATTCATAAATAAAGTTTTATTGAAACTTGTTGTTAAGTGCCATTGAGTTGGTTCTAATCCATAGTGACCCTGTATAGGGTTTCCAAGAAGCAGCCTGGTGAGCTTGAACCACCAACCTTGCAGTTCAGATGGCTTTGCAGTCTGGCCCATTAACCCACAGTGCCACACCCAGACTCCTTATTGAAGCATAGCTAGGCTTATTCATTTGCTGTATGATTGTGTTTGTACTACAACGGCAGGAGTGCTTCAAACATATCCTGTGTGGCCCACAAATCCTAAAATATTTATTATCTACCCCTTTATTTTATTAAGGAGCTCTGGTAGCATAGTGTTTATGAGTCAAGCTGCCAGCCTCAAGGTCAGCAGTATGAATGGGAGAAAGATGAGGCGTTCTGCTCCCATAAAGATTTACAGGCTCGAAAACCCTGTGCAGGGTCGCTATGAGTCGGAACTGACTCCATGGTACTTAAAAACAACAACAACAACAAAAACCCCTTTATTGGAGTCTTGATGCGGGTTTATGTGCTAGACGGCAAGGTCAACTTGAACTGGAAGGTTGGTGGTTCAGGCTCACCAGCTGGACCTTTTGGAAACCTTACACAGAGTAGCTGAGTCAGAACTGACTCTAAAGCACTTAGCAGCAACAACACCCATTTATCAGCACTCCTGGTGTGGCTCAGTAGGATCAGCACTAGACTGTTAACCACATGGTTGGCAGTTCACATCCCAGCAGCTCCTTGGAATCCCTATACATGGTGGCTTTGATGCAGAAATGACTTGACAGTACTTAACAACAACAACAACAACAACAACCCCTTTATATATAAAAAACAAAAAGTGCCACCCTTGACTCAACAATATATTATTGCTAGTCTCTGTATCTTAAGTTTACTTGGTGTGTTGGCACAGAGGTGGTATTTCTGTCTCCCATTATTTACCTCCCTTTACAGAAAGTCATAATAAGCCACTGGTACCAAAGTGTGTTGCATTTTTCAGATGTATTTGGGCAGAGAAAAAGGTTGAAAATGTTTAATGTTATGATTTATGTAACAACTTCTAAACTTAGTTTTTGGCAACAACCTATTTGACCTATTTACTGATATTCCCTTTTATAGGAAATTAAGAGAGAGACAGAAACAAAGGATGACAATTTACCCATCAAACGCGAAAGGCATGGGAATGTGGCAAGTCTTGTACAACGAATAAGCACCTACGGACTTCCAGCTGGAGGAATTCAGCCGCATCCACAAGCAAAAAACATTAAGAAAAGTATGTAAATAACTTCTTTCCTATTCAGTGTTTAAAAAATATATGGATATTTCATTACTATATAAACAGTATTAAAATTTAAGAAAATTAGCAATACTTTCTAGAGCAGACCACAGTAAATTTTATTTCCAACATTCATCAGTATTGACCCAGTCTTGTTTTTAGTAATATGTAGTTGATTGCATAATGATTATCGCACGTGAGTAGAGTTGGTTCTAACTCATAGTGACTCAGTATAGGGTTTCCATGACTATACTGATATTACTCTATAGAAATTATAAATTAAAATAGAGGTTCTGTTGTTAGTTTGTTAGTTATTAGCAGAGGCTGAATGGTTAACACTTTTCTTCAGGTGTTTTATAATACCTTTTCTAAACAACATAAATGACAACGATACACTTGAACCTCACCAGAAGAAATACACAGAAATAAAATTGGCTACATCTGTGGAAAGACACAGTGAAAAAGACATCTGTCAAGATAAGGCCGGGGGGAGACTGTGGAACACAGACCATCAATTGCTCTTATGCAAGTTCAGGCTGAAATTGAAGAAAATTAAAACAGGGCAACAAGAGCCAAAATATGACTTTGAACATAACCCACTGGAATTTAGAGATCATCTCAAAATACATGAACATAATGCATAATGATTTAATGCATTAACACTGACAATTAAGACCAGAAGAGTTGTGGGATGACATCAAGAACATCATGCAGGAAGAAAGCAAAAAGTCTTGTTACGAAGACAAGAAAGAAAAAGAACAAAATGGATGTCAGAGGAGACTATGAAACTTTCTCTCCAGTTTATAGATGCTAAAGCAATTGGAAGAAATGAGGTAAAAGAGCTGAATAGAAAACTTCAAAGTGCAGCTCTGGAAGACAAAGCCAAATACTATAAAGTAATGTGCAAAGATCTGGTGCTAGATAACCAATAGGGAAAAACACACTCAGCATTTCTCAAGCTGAGGGAACTAAAGAAAAAATTCAAGCCTCAACTTGAAATACTGAAGGATTCTATGGGCAAAATAATAGAACGATGCTAAAAACATCAAAAATAGATGGAAGGAATACACAGAATCATTGTACCAGAAAGATACGATCAATGTTCAGTCATTTCAGAAGGTAGCATATGGTCAAAAGCCAGTGATATTGAAGGAAGAAGTCCAAGGTGCATTGAAGGCATTGGCAAAGAACAAGGCTCTGGGAATTGATGAAATGCAAGTTGCAATCTTTCAACAACTGGATGCAGCACTGGAGACACTCACTATCTCTGCCAAGAAATTTGGAAGACAGCTACCTCACCAACTGACTGGAAGAGAGCAGTAATTTTGCACATTCCAAATAGAGTTGACCCAACAGAATGTGGAAATCATTAGACAATATCATTAATATCACATGCAAATAAAATTTTGCCAAAAATAATTCAAAAACAGCTGTGCAGTACATTGACGGGGAACTACCAGAGGTTCAAGCTGGATTCAGATGAGGACATAGAATGAAGGATATCATTGGCTGAAAGCAGAGAAAGATGTTTGCCTGTGCTTTATTGACTATGTGAAGGGTTTTGGTTATATGGATCTTGACAAGCTATGGGCCATGTAGTGGAAAATAAGTATTCTGGAACAGTTAATTGTGTTCATGAGGAACCTGTACATAGATCAAGAGGCAGCGTTTGAATAGAACAAGGCCACACAGAATGGTTTAAAATTAGGAAAGGTGTGCACCAGGGTTGTATTATTTCATCATACTCATTCAATCTGTATGCTGAGCAAATAATCTGAGAAGCTGGATTATATGAAGAAAAACATGGCATCAGGATTGGAGGAAGACTCATTAACAACCCGTGATATGCAGATGTTGAATCATACCTTACCCAAGCCATGGTACTTTGTTTGCTGGCTGTGAAGAGGATTTAAAATGCTTATCGATGAATATCAAAGAATACAGCCTTCGGTATGAGTTGCACATCAATATAAAGAAAAGGAAAACCCTCACTATTGGACAATAAATAGCATCCATATTAATGGAGAAAATATTGAAGTCAAAGATTTCATTTTGCTCCGATCAACCATCAACACTTACGGAAGCAGCAGTCAAGAAATCAAGCAACATATTGCATTAGGCAAATATGCTTCTCAAGATCTCTTGAATATGTTGAAGAGCAAAGATACAGTTAGAGGACTAAGGTGCACCTTACCCAAGCCATGGTACTTTCAATAACCGAATATACATGTGAATTTGAACAAGGAATAAAGATGACCATAGAAGAATTGATGCATTTGAGTTAAGGTGTTGGATGATAATAGTAAAAGCACTGTTGTTGTTGTTAAGTGCTGTCGAGTCGGTTCCGACCCATAGCGACCCTGTATAGGGTTTCCGAGGGTGTAAATCTTTACGGGAGTAGAAAGCCTCATCTTTCTCCCGCGGAGCGGCTGGTAGTTTCGAACCGCTGACCTTAAGGTTCGCAGCCCGATTCGTAAGCACCAGGGACTGCCAAAAGAACAAACAAATCTGTGTTAGAAGAAGTACAGCCAGAGTGCTCCTTAGAAGCCAGGATGGCCAGACTTTGTTTCTCATACTTCAGGTATATTATCAGGAGGGACCAGTCCTGAAATAGAACATTATGCTAGTCAGAGAATAAGTGGGAGACCCCCAGTGAGATGGATTGGCACAGTGGCAGCAACAATGGGCATAAGTGTGGCAAAGATTGTGAGGTTGACCCAGGACTGGGTCAGTGTTTTGTTCTGTTGTGCATAAGGTTGCTGTGAGTCAGTACCAAGTCCACAACACCTAATCACAACAAGGTCTACTGAGCCTTAAGCTGTATAGACACAGAATTTAGATAATGTCTTTAGTAGGTAGCTACAGGAACATATATGCAATTGAAGCCTGTTTTAGCTGGCACTTGATGGACTGCCTTGTTTGCTTGGGTCTCACAAGTTTTCTGTCTTTGACAGGAGGTAACCCTATACATGTTTAATGCATGTTTTATTTTATTGTTATTCAAAACGACTTTAACCATCTTTATTAAGATGTAATTTGCATACAACAAGATACACCCCCTTTCTGTACATTTTTATGGTTTTAGCAAGGTTCTACACCCACATAAAGTCCCAGCTAATAAAAACATATCGTTCCATTTTGTGTCCTTTATTTCTTTTGTGTCCTTTATTTCAGACCTATTGCCCATACCAAGTACTGCTGGCACTGGGCAACAACTGTTCTTCTTTATGTCACAGTAGGTTAAAAAGAACCTTGAACGTGTTCTCTTGTGTTTGGCTTCTTTTCTTTTGGTCAAGATGATGTCTTTTTTTTTTGTTTTTAATATTTAGTTTTTTATTATAGCTTGGGTGAAAGTTTATGATGTAAATTAGTTTACTGTGTAACAATTTATACATGCTTTGTTTTATGACATTGGTTGCAATCATTTCATTGTAACCACTTCCTCTGTGGGCTCCCCATTTCTATTGTCCTTCATTCCAGCCACTGCCTGCCCCCTAAGCTTTGTTTGGGGACATATGCTTCCCTTTTGGTCTCGTATGATTACTTGTACTAAGGAATAACACCACCACCAAGGTGTGATTCACTTTATAGACCTATCTATTGTTTGGTTGAAAGTTGATACCTGAGGAGGGTGGTTTCCGTTCCTGTTTTAAGGGTATCTTAAGAGTCACAGTCTTGGGGGTTCTACCAGTCTATCAGACCCCAGTACATCTGTTGTCGTTTTTTTTATGATTTTGAGTTTTGTTCCATCTTTCTTTCCTTCTTTGTCCAGGACCTTCTGTTATGATGCTGATCAGAGCTGATCAGGCACTATCTACTTCTGTTCTTAGGATAGTGGACACTGTGATCTGTGTGGTTCATTAACTCTTTGGACTAATTGTTTCCCGGATTCTTTGATTTTCTTTACTATTGTTTGCTTTGGATGAGGGACCAATAGTTGAATTTTTAATGGCCACTCGTAATCTTTTAAGATCCTAGCTGCTATTTGTTGTTGTTCAAGTGCCTTTGAGTGGGTTCCGACTTAAGTGACCTTATATAGGGTTTCTCAGATATTACATTTTCAAGGGATCAGAAAGTCTCATCTTTTTTGCATGGAGCATGTGATGGGTTCAAACCTCCTACCTTGTGGTTCTCAGTCTATTGCTTATTGTATTGAGCTACAGTAGGATGTAGAGTGTTTTCTTTTTGCACTATGTAGTGCCACTTACCTAGTGTTCTCCTTAGACTGTGTTTCTGAGTCCCCAAGTAGCTCTTCGCTCATAGTATTTGGTTATAACTAAGTTTTCAGAAATGTGTCTCCCTTCTGCACCCGTATGCTTTACAATATCCTTACATATATTTGTAGCATAAATACATATGTTGTAGAAGTATTCTTTGCTATGACTTGACAGCACTTAACAACAACAACAAAATACCTATATATGGATTCCTGGTATGGCACTGCAGGATAATTCAGTGGGCTGTGAGGTCAGTTTGAGCCCCAAGGTTGTCAGTTCAAACCCACCAGCTGCTCCTTGGAAACCCTATACAGGGTTGCTATGAGTTAGAACTTACTCGAAAGCACTTAACAACAACAACAACAACATATCCATATATCCGTACTGGTGTGGCGCTGTAGGATCAGCACTGGACTTTGAATCACATGGTTGGCAGTTCAAACCTGCCAGCTGCTCCTTGGCAATCCTATTGAGGGTGGCTATGAGTCTACACAGATGTGATGTCACTTACTACAACAACATCATACGTATATATTCTTGTGGGTATGCTTCTATTTGCTTTCTCACATCTTTTCTGCTTTCATGTTGTTAAGTGCCATCGAGTTGGTTCCTACTCATAGCAACCCTGTATAGGATTTCCAAGGAGTAGCTGGTGGGTTTGAACTGCTGACATTGTGGTTCGCAGCCTAGTGCTGATCCTACAATGCCACACCAGAAGTCTGTCTGGTGCACCTGGCGGGCTTATGTCTACCTACTATTGTGTGTAGACTAGTATTTCCCTTTGTTGTCCTTTACTCTTCTGTATCTTCCAGTGACTTCTTTTGCCGTTGGCCATGTGCTGACTTTGCTCTTATTGCATATTAATCATTTCCTTTTCCCAAGTTGCTGTATTTTTATGTAAATAACACAAAGCTTCTATGCTTATTTGCCAACCATGACCTCTCCCTGTGAGATATATTTGTAAAAGGCTCACAGTGTCACTTTTTTAAAAAAACATGTTGTGTTGACAAAAATAACCCCTAGCAGGTAGGGAGAGAGTAGGTGGCAAATCAAGAGAAGCGCTGCCATTTCTCTCCCTGATAACAGTCAACAAATGTTTCTTTTTGTGTGGAAGTCATTTCTTGATGTTTAGTAGTGGTGTTATACAATATTTGTGCTTTTGCAATTTGACTGATTTCACTCAGCAGAATGTTTTCTAGGTTCATAAATGCTCTGTGATGTTTTTCAGATTCATCATTACTCTGTAGTATTGTGTAGCATTCCGGTGTATTTATGTGCCATACTTTGTTTATTCAGTTTTCCATGGATGGACATTTAGGGTGTGTCCATGTTTTTTGCTGTTGTGAATAGTGTTGCAGTGAACACAGATGTGCATGTATCTGTCTGTGCATGGACCATATGGTGTTACAATTTACAGCTTTTTGAGAGGGTACCGTGCTGTTTTCCACAATGTTGTACCACTTTACAATCCTACCAGTAGTGCATGAGGGTTTTAGTCTCTCTACAACCTTGCCAGCATTTGTTGCTTTCTGTGATATTAATTTTTAAAAAAAATAACTTTGCCATTAATACAATAAATAGTTGTTGTTGTTGTTGTTAAGTGCCGTCTGTAGAACTTTTAAAAATTGGGAGCTTTTTTTATGCCCTGTTCAATTTCTTCTTTTTGTTATCAGTGTGCTCAAATTTTCTACTGTATTCTGTGCTTGTGTCAATATTTTGGGACTCTTTTTGGGTGCATAGTTGTTATGGTTATATCCTTGTCTTAGGCCATGTTTTCTAGAGAAGAAAATCCTGTGAAACATGCATATTAATGTAGAGAGAGAGTTTATGATCAAGGAAATGGCTTACAATTGCAGAGTCCTAGGTTCCCAGTGGAAAAGAAAGAGAGAACCTTTCTTGCATGCCTATTATATTGGGAGTAGGCTACTCCCAGGGGAGCATCTCTTCAATTGATTGTCAGTTTATAGCCACTTACCATAGTTAACTATGCATGGCTTCATCACCATAGGAATAAGCACATCTCAGTTGCTAAACCTCTGGAAATATTGGCCTAGTCAAGTTGACACAAAACCCTGTTACAGTCCACCCTTGTCAACTTGAAACCTATAAGCTATGTGCATAATCTCCAGTACAGACAATTGTAAAGTCATACTTGCACCTAGCATAACTAAAACATGTATAACCAAAAGTGCACTGGCTCCATTTAGTGACATCTTTATGTCACTAATTAAGAAAGCAAAAATATTTGTTGCACACATGCAAAACAAAACAAAAAAATATATTTATTTAAATGTCCAAAGGGCCCATTCTTCAAGCCAGCCTCCTGCCTTCTCATAGGCACACAGCCTGGCTCAGTCTACGGGCTTGGAGTTGGAAGCTGCTTTATCTCTCCATGTCACTGCCTCTGCTGTTGCTGCTTTTCTAGGCAGGGGTTCCAAGCTTCTCTCATGCTCTACCTTTTTGATGGTCCTGGTACCATTTGTTTCTGAAATGAAAGATTAACTACTACTTCTTTTTAGTTACACATCCTCTGTAATTACAGTTTGACAATTACTCACATTTGAAATCATAAAATCCTGTCAGCATCATCCCTAAACCCCTCACACCTCAAATCCATCTGGATAAAAGGAAATTAGTCAGTGAGGATTCTGCCTTGCGCCTCATTCTAAAACAAAGCACACCTGTGAAAGCTTATAAGCCCGCCACTTCATGGAATATGGAAATCTTTGAACAATATATCATTAATATTACATGCAAATAAAATTTTGCTGAAAATAATTCTACTACCTGGAATTGTAGCTAGATTCAGAAGAGGATTTTGAATGAGGGATATCACTGATGATGCCACATGGACCTTGGCTGAAAGCAGAGAATACCAGAAAGATATCGACTTGTGCTATATTGACTATACAAAGGCTTTCCACTGTGTGGATCATGACATGCTTTGGACAATGTTGCAAATGAATATTCTGGCACACTTAATAGTGCTCATGAGGAACATGTACGCACATCAGGAGGCAGTTGTTTGAACAGAAAAGGAGACACTTAATGGTTTAAAATCAGGAAAGTTGTGTGCCCAGATTGTATTCTTTCATTATACTTATTCAGTCTGTACTGAGCACATAATCAGAGAAGATGGATTATATGAAGAAAAATATGGCATCAGGATTGGAGGAAGAAAGACTCTGGTAGTGTAGTGGTTACGAGTTGGGCTGCTAACCTTATGGTCAACAGTTCGAAACTACCAGCTGTTCCATGGGAGAAAGATGAGGCTTTCTGCTCCCGTAAAGATTTACAGCCTCGGAAACCCTGTACAGGGTCGCTATGGGTCGGAACTGACTTGATGGCACTTAACAACAACAACATTATATAGATGAGCCAACCTTGCTTGCTGTAGGTGAAGAGGTCTTAAAATACTTACTGATGAAGATCTAAGACCACAGTCCCGGGTAGTCTTGGTCTTGCACTTCAATGTAAGGAAAACAAAAATCTTCAACACTGGACCAATAAATAACATGATAATGGAGAAAAGATTGAAGTTGCTAAAAGATTTCCTTTTGCGTGAATCTACAATCAGCATTCTTGGAAGCAGCAGTCCAGAAATCAAACAACGGATTGTATTAGGCAAATCTGTTACACAGGACCTTTTAAAATGCTTATGAGCACAGTTATCAGTTTGAGCACTAAGGTGTGTCTCATCCATGCCATAGTATTTTCAATAGCCTTATATGCATGTGAAAGTTTGACAATGAATAACGAATACCTGAAGAATAGGTGCATTTTAATTCTCATGTTGGAAAAGAATATTGAAATTACCATGGACTGCCAGAAAAGCAAACAAATATATACTGAAAGAAGTACAGCCAGAATGATTCTTAGAAGCCAGAATGGTGAGTGAGACTTTCATCTCGCATACTTTATCCATGTTATGAGGAAGGAGACATGTTATCAGGAATGGACATGTTATCAGGAGGGAAGTCTTCTAACTTCCATTCCAGTGATTTGTTTCTGTTGTAGCATGGTGTCTCTCTCTACCATGTAAAAAGTTCATTTGGAGATGTTTATGACCATGGATTCATGAAATGACATTGTACTTAACTAGTTTACTTCTTAGGGTTATCCTTCTTAGCTAGTAAAAACAGTCTCTTTAGAATCCTACATTTGCTGTTGTAGTTAGGTGCCATTTAGTCTGTTCTGACTCAGCAACTCTGTGTACAGCAGAGCAAGGTACTGCCCAGTGCTGCACCATCTTCATAACCAGAGCTGTGCTGAAGCCCATTGTTGCGGCCACTGTATAAGTGCAGCTCAGGAAGAATGATTATTGTCTGAATAAGTGAAGCTTGTGTGAACAGCTAAAGTAAAAATGGAATCTTCATCAATGTGAGCTTGATTTTTATCTGCCAGAACATAGCTGTTAGAGAAGATATAATAAATCTTAGATTTTGTCTCTTTTTATCTCAGATATTCTTTAAAACAAATACATTTTAATTTTTTCTAGACTTTAAGAAATAGTCTGAAAATCACAGAGCTGGAAGATTTATGATATATTTGTTCTACCAATCATGTGTTTTATTGCTTGTATTTCTCTCCTCAGAATTGTCAAGTGTATATTTTGCTTTTGTGTAATTTGTGAGATTAGATCTATAAATAGATTTCATTGCCAGGAGCCTTATATTTTATTTCTAGTGATACAAATGTATTTGGAGATGAATAGACAAGTCAAAAGCTAACCAGGACTGATTGTAGTTGGCTGTTTAGGATGCTCCTATGTTGTTTTTGTTCATTCATTTCAGTCTTACGAATGTCTGCACTTAGCCAATAAAGGTTCTGTTGTTCATTTTAAAGATCATTCAACATCTAAATTTTCATTGTATTCTTCCTTTAGAGACCAAGAAACGTCAGTGTAAAGTTTTCTTTGAGTACGTTCCACAAAATGAGGATGAGCTGGAGCTAAAAGTGGGAGATGTTATTGATATTAATGAAGAGGTAAGGAAAAAATGTATTAGAGATAAAGTAGTAATTAGAATTGATGCTTTAGGATCTAGAAAATTGCTATGTAACAATTTTTCTGTGAGAATTTTTTAAATGTAAATTTAAATGAGATCTTTTATGATTTTATATCAGGTTGTATTTATCTGTAGAAATAGAGTTTACACATTCTTGCTATACCTAATATGAGAGGACTTCAAAAAGTTAGTGACAAAAATGAGATTAACAGATAGGTCTGAATGAGTATGGGAGGGAGAATGGGAGTATACCCACAAGTATGTAGAGGTTTGACAGGATATTTGTACGTGGGTGTTTATTTACCTTTGCTGCAATGAGTTGCTGTCTCTGTGGACTCAGGAACATAGTCTTGGAAGACCTGGTCAATTGACATAACATAGTCCACAGTGACAGTGTTCTACATCTTTGGTGAGTGGTGATTGGGATCTTAAAAGCTCATGAGTGGCCATCTGAAGTGCAACTATTGATCTTTCCTTGAGCGGAGGAAAGAAGAGTATTGAAAATTGAAGATAGCTTGGAATCAGTTAGTCCAATGGACTAATGGACCACTTGAGCGACAGTCTCCACAACCTTGAGACCACAGGAACTAATTGGGGCCAGGCTATCACTATTAACTGTTCGTAAAGGGATCTCAGTGGAAGGTCCTGGTTCGTGTGTGAATAAGTGTGAACCCAAACTAAGAAAATTATAAAAAAAGACCAGGTTTACTGAGCAGAAAGAGACTGGAGGAACCTGAGACTGTGGCACTGGGTCATCCTTTAGATCTGGATCTGAACTCACCTCTGTGGCTCAGTTTCCAGCCCAGCATTAGACAGGTAGGTATATAAGGATAACAACAGTAGTGAGATATGCATACCATGGAATGGTCAACCATTCAAGATCCACAGGCATCATTTACCTAAAAAGATGAAATTCACAAGTGTTGGAAAAGGAGGTTGAATGGAAACAAAAGTCACAGGGAGGAAGTGGGACAACTGATATTACATGGAAGTGATTGTAATCATTAATTTTAAAAAAGTTTATGGTTTGTTGAACATAAAGCCGATGATCTGCTCTAGAGACCTTCACTCAATTCATAATAAAAAGTTAAAAAAAAAAGGAATGAAAGTTTTCCATTTTCTGAAGCTGCTTCATATTTGTATATTGTATTTGAATCTCTTAAATTAGCTTTGATGATACTGTGGGATAAGTGTTTGCTAACTGCAAGCTTGGTGGTTCAAACCCACCAGTCAGATGTCTGCTCTCAGAAAGATTTACAGTCTTGGAAACCTTATATGTGGTCTGCATAAATTGGGATTGACTCAGTGGCCATGGGCTTGGGATTTGATTTGTTTATTTGAGTTTTTTTTCAGTCTCTTAACCTTTTTAGGACATTTTCCCCCATGAAGTCTGATGCAGTCAAAGTTGCTAAGTTGATAGATAAACTTTTTCTTTGATTCTGAATTTACTGTAGGCACGAAACATTAAAATGGGAGGAATTTTGCCTTGTGCATCGTAAAGAAGTAATAAAACAAGCCTTTGTAAAACAAGCCTTGTCTTGTATGAGTATTCAAAAAATTCATTCAGATACTCTTCCATGTTTTGATATCATAGACTGAGATTTTTTAAATTATAAAAATAACTTTTCATACTTCTGCTTTTGTCATTGAAGATAATATTAAAGTTTTATTTGACAATTGAGGATCCTGTTTTCAAAGTATATGTCTATATGTATGATACACACACACACACGCATATATATATCATATGAATTCTTGGTGTGGAGCTATAGAATAAGCACCCCACCACAAGCCACAAGGTTGGTTTGAATGGCAAGGTTGGTGGTTCAGACTTGTGAGCCATTCCTCGGAAACCCTGTACAGGGTCACTATGAGTCAGAACTGACTCGATAGCTAGCACTCCACAGCAACAACTATATATATCATGTTACAGGGATTGATTTTTGTGTCCTAATAGCATGTAACATAATTTACCACTAGTGTTTATGTTTCAGAGTCCTGATATGGCACTGTAGGATAAGCACTGGACTGCTAACTGCTAGTTGGCGATTCAAACCCATTAGCTGCTCTTTGGAAACCCTATGCAGGGTCGCCATGAAGCAGAAATGACCGAATGACACTTGACAACAATAACAATGTTTCTGTTTATGTCAGTTTTAATGTGTTTATATTAGAAGCGATACTTAACATTTATATCCTTTAAATATTTGTGTGGTGCTGTGGGTTAACACGCTGGACTGCATGGTCCATTTAAACTGCAAGGTCGGCAGTTCAAGCTCACCAGCTGTTCTTTGGAAATCTTATACAGGATTTCTGTGAGTCAGAACTGAGTTGATGGCACTTAACAACAACAGTGAGATTGGAACGTGCAGTATGGTGTTGTAGGATCAGCACTGGACTGCAAACCACAAGATCAGCAGTTCAAACCTAGCTGCTCTTTGGAAACCCCATACAGGGTTGCCATGAGTCAGAATGGACTCAAAGGCAGTTAACAACAACAAAGAGATAGGAAATTGTATCCTTATATTACATATGAAAGGGGCCCTGGTAGTGTAGTGGATTATGCCTTGGGTTTCTAACTGTGGGGGCAACAGTTTTAATCCACCAGCCACTCCTTGGGAGAAAGAAGAGGCTTTCTGTTCCCATAAAGATGCAGAAGGAGTCCTGGTGTGGCATTGCTGGTTAATAAACTGGACTGCTAGGTGGTTGAATTGCAAGGTCAGTGATTCAGGCTCACCAGCCAATCCTGGGAAACCCTATATAGGGTCGTGAGTTGGAGCCGACTCGACGACACTTAGCAACAACAACAACAAAGATACAGAAAGCTTGGGAAACCCTGTATCTATCTGGTTGCTATGAGTTGGACTCAATCAGCTTAATGTTAGTGGGTTTGGACTTGGTACTGTATATGAAAAGATTGAATCACAGAAGATAAGTAATTTCCTGCTCCAGTTACTGTTGTTTTATGACAGCCCCAGACTGTTTCATTGTGCTCATGCGTGTGTGGATTAAAACTTCAGAAAGGGCACAGCAGAGACATCTTATCTTCTGTTCCATGATGTCCGGAGTCCTCAGGCAGGTGGCTGGAATCAGTCACATGACTAGTGTGATAGGACTTGAAGACTAGGACTGCTGATCCAGGAACTGTTGACTTTGTTTCTTATGTGTCAAGGCCTCAAGAGCCTCAGGATTGCCCCACTTAGCACAGAGAAGTTCAGGGTTCCAAGTGTAAGCATTGCAGAGGATGTGCTGATAGCTGTTTCCTTTTTTAATTTGCCTTGGAAGTGATAGAGTTTTATTCTAAACACATTCTGTTGGTTGCAAATGCATCATAAGACACCTGGATTGACAGGGGGAGGGACAAAGATCACTGTTTTGTGTCAAAGTCACATTGTATGAGGGGCCTTGCCTTTAAAACATTTGTGGAATCATGGAATTAAAAGATACTGGAATTTTTACAGAGACTCTCTGGAAGCCCTGCTATAGATGATTGTATGCTTTATATATAGGATATCTTCTTGTAGCCATCTTTGTCCAAGTTCATACGCCTAGTATACAGTGGAATCAGGATTTGAACCTAGGCAATCTATTTTTAGAGTCAGTATTCTTTACCATTATACCACTTTATTTTCCTTAAGAATTTCATAATCAAATAATCCTATCTACCCAAATTCTGCCATTTTGAGGTTCCATGTACAGGTAATAAATAGTTTGCCTTTGTTTCTGTCATAGGTCCCAGTGTGGTCTGCATAACCCCATCAGTGCCCCTGAAGTCTACTAAAAATTCTTTAGTGTTTGCATTTACTGCCTTCTTTTTCCTGCAAGCAGTTTATATTTTAGTAACCTGTATTTTCAGCCCATTGTCCATGAAGTAATCCTTTATTACTTTTGCTACCATAATTTTTCCATGTGTTTTACTCTTAAAAACTCTTACCAGCCTTTAGTATGCAACTTCTCAGTCATTTTTGTTCCTTTTTAAAAAATTAACTTAAATTTTTTTGTTTGTTTGTTTGTGAACTGAGTGAACTTTACACGGGAGAACATCGGCTTTACACCATCGTTTTATTGCAATGATTACAATCTCCTCTGTGCATTATCATTCAAAAGTATTTGTTTCCATTACCTCTATTTTTTTGTGTATGTGGGTGGTGGTGGTGTGGGGATGTACATAAAAACACTCAGAAATATATAATAATTTAAACAACTGTCCAATCTGCAAGCCTGCCTCCTGGCTGCCAGCACTCAATCCCTCTCTTTCCATCAATCTAGAGTCCTCAGCTGTTCCTACTCTCCATGTCCTCATCTCTGTCTCCAACTCTGGTGTCACCTGCTTCTCTGGATAGGATCTCACATTTTGTTTGTGCTCTTTTCCCATGATTGTCCTAGGGTCCATTGTTTCTGAACTGTAAGATTGTTGTTGTTGTTATGTGCCATCGAGTCGGTTACTACCCCATTTTTGTTTCTAAACTTCTACCTTTATAGTTGTGACATTTGCAATTAGTCATGATAGCAGTTACTCACTATTGAATCATAAGAACCTTATCCCCATCTCTTCCACCAGACCAGGCTAGACAAGATGAAAAGTATTCAGTGGGGATTCTACCTTCCCCTGCACACTCTGACACTAAACTCCCTGTTGAAAACTTGTAAGTCAGTCACTTAGGGCCTTTATCACCCCTTCATTTTAGGTAGCTAATGTCTAAGTTGTCTGTCCCTATATACTCAGTATACAGAGGGGATAGCATTGATACTTGATATGAAGACTCCTTCTCTCTCAGTTGGTATTTTGAGCTATTACATCTGTTAAGTATAGGTCAAGTTCATCAAATTGTAGCAACTTACACTCATTTTCTTTATCAAAAATTGTTTTTTTATTTTCCTCTATTTGAGTTCTGATTATCAAGCCATTGAGGCTAGGTCAAATGGGTACTGTCTGCAAGTTTGGGCGTTCTTGTGCATCTCCCCTCACTTCATAATCAGCTGGATGCTTCACTCTCAGCTCTAGCCCTCCATGGTTACGTCCTTGTCCATAGACTCAGGAGTCCCCAGGTCTCACCACATTTCGGACCAACCAGTTCTTCCTTTTCTCTCTCATTTCCAGGTCAGTGGGAGTCTGTAGAATGTGGTTGAACTCAACCCATTTCTTCATTGCTACCTTTCCCCCTCTTCCACTCACCTGTAGTCCAATGTGGTCACTAGCAGGCTTACATGCCTGTTCATATGTTCCCTTTGAGTTTCAGTCTTAGAGGGCATTTGTCCTGAAGGGACTTGATTACTTGCCTTGATGGCTTCCTGGAAAAGAGTTTGCTTGTTTTTGTAGTAGCCAATCATAGTGCCATTTTTGTTTAGGGTTTTACCTGCTGATGTTTCTTTGAAGATGTATCTTCTGTCGTTCTAGCTGGTCTGCTTGTCCTTTTTAGTGGGAATGTCCCACCTCAGAAGGTTCTGCATGGGACTCAGGATTCCAAGTAAGGTCCTATATACTGCAAAGGCTCACAAGAGGCCTATTTCATTGGGCAAGTTGCAGAACCTCTTTTAGGTATTCCAGTCAGTTATAGGCTGAAGATGGGCTTACAAACTTTCTGTAATCATGTTTCCCGACATTCCTTTCTATCCAACTCAAGTGTCTATTTTACAATAGTAGACAAGGGAAACCAGTGTTCGTAAGATCTTAGTATTATTCCCCTCTTCAGACTATACCTCAATCCCTGTATCACAGAGCCCTGTTGTTCCAAGGTTTGATCATTTCATTTTATGAATTCCTTTTAAAACTCCTTTTACTTCAAGCTTCTCCTCTGTGCTGACATAGCATGTTGTGCATATTTTCTTTGTAGTGTCTTTTATGTTACTTTATATCTTCCTTTATATTGTTATATTCAAGGGTATGGGTTTTCTTTTATTCAAATTTGTGTCTTTAACAAGGAACACTGACTTGTATATACTAAGTGTCTATTTGATGATAATATTAAAAGAATGCTTTGTTATTATAACAAGGTAGAACAATTTTTAGATTTTAAACAAACAAAACAAAACATTTTTTTCATAGCTTTCATACTAGTATGTATTTTCTGCTGCTCAGTGAATTTTCAAAATGAATAGTTTGCTCTTTGGAAAATAATTTTGCCCATTAAATCATCTTATCAGTCCTAACAAACAAAACATTCAAAACAGTTATTAAATATTTGATTTACTAGCTTTATAAAACTAAGTGACCTCATTATTTATGAGGGTAAATATTTTCTTCGAAAGAGTTTGGTTTATGAGACTATTTCTGGTTGTAGGGGGTAGGGAGGCTTAGAGCCAGGTGTCTGCATTTTTAAAATAAGGGACTATTGTGTCATATATATATTTAGTAAAAGGCATAGTAATTTTGTATGGAAATTGTTGTTGTTAAGTGCCATCGAGTCAGTTCAGACTCATATCAACCCTGTATAGGGCTTCCAAGGAACATGTAGTGGGTTTAAATAGCCAACCTTGTGGTTAGCAGTCCAGTTCTTATCCTACAGCACCACACCAGGAGTTAGGAAGCTAATATTTTTACCAACCTTTATTCAAATTAAATATTTCCAAATACTTTAAATACTGTTATTATGATTAACTGAGATTTAGTAATGCTTTAAAGAAAATAAAATTTTAGAATAGAGCTGTCTACCTTTGCTGTTAAAACGTAACACATGATTATCTGACATATTCGTGGAAATTATTTATATCCTAGATATGTGAAGTTGTTATTATAAATATTGCCAAGTGCTATTTATAAATAATTAAATCCATATAAGATTAATCTAACTCTCTTAGATTTAGTTTAAATTAAAAATTTCCCTATTGTGTTTTCTTGTCGTTTTAAAGGGGTTAATTTGTATCACTTACTTTTTGCTCATTCTCTTATGTAGCTTAATGTTCTCATAGGGAAAGATTTTTGTTTAAAAATCCTTTGTATTATTCTTGAGTTGTGCATATTTTCAGGTTGAAGAAGGCTGGTGGAGCGGAACTCTGAACAACAAGTTGGGACTGTTTCCCTCAAATTTTGTGAAAGAATTAGATGTAACAGATGATGTCGATACTCATGAAGCCCAGGACGATTCAGGTACACTGTTTGAGTTGATTTAAATAAACTTTATATATGGTCTTATTTTTATTATGTATTTGAACGACAGGGTTAGCAGTTCAAACTCATCAGCCACTCCTTGGAAACCTTATACAGGGTTGCTATGAGTTGGAACAACTTGAAGTCCTTAAACAACATTTTTGTAAAACTCTGTTCTTATTTGGTAGCTAACCAAAAGTGAAACCTGTTGCCATGGAGTTGCTTCTGACTCGTCGTAACCATATGTATCATAGAATAGGACTTTCTGACACATCGCACTGTCTTCTAAGGTTCCCCCTTGGTTGATTTGAACTCTGCTAAATTTTAAGGTTAGAAGTTCAGTTCAAACCTGTTTGATAATTGTAGTTGTTGTTAAGTTCCTTTGAGTCAGTGTTGACTCATTACGACCCTGTAGAGGGTTTCCAAGGAGTAGCTGGTGAGCTTGAACTGCCAACCTGCGGTTCAAACCGACTTGCACCAACCAGTGCATTAACCCACAGTGGTACACCAGGACTCCATTTGATAACTAGATGTGTAATATTTTGAACTATCAACTTTAATCTATATACTTTTAAAAAACTGCTTATGAAAGGGACCTAAAGTGAGCTAAATATCTAGATGGATAATATTTTTCCTTCTCTAATATCTGCTTGAGTGCTAAGTAAACCTTTTGTATTCTTATTAGAAATGATTAGCTATATTTCATCTTAATTTTCACAATTAAGAAATTAGTTTTGATCTGCTGAGTGTGCAAATGGCTTATTTACTGAAGAAATTTTGAATTATTTTCTTGAGTTATATGTCTTCTGGTTGTTTTCCGTAGTCATTTCAGCGTGTATTCTCTTCTCGCCTGTGCAGCCAAAATGTCATACCATTATTTTTTTATTGCTGTTATTTATAAACTCATACACAAATTAATCTGTTCATTTTTCAAGAATATGATTGAGAAAAATATCTCCAAAGTCAGGTTTAAAGTTCCTATTTCAAGAATTGCTTTTAGGAATTTAGGAGATGTTTTCCTCCCAAAAGAGGAATTGAATTTGTGGAATTGACTCAGTGGCAGTGAGCTTGGTTCTCATCCATAATTAAGGTTTGTTTGCACATGAATGTTTGATTTCTTAAGTGTCTTGAACCTGGCAAAATGTCAACTAACGAAACTGTAGGAAAGATCATTGGTGATAATACAAACGTAGTAACATCTAGATACTGAGGTAGAAAGTCCTAGTAAGGCACCTGAATTTTATGACAGAGAAACCAAAACTTCTTGGAAGTTTTTACTTAAATATTTTAATACATATATGTTCTTAGAAGAATCAAGGTATTTAAAATTTTTGGCTCTCTGATTCCTTCTTTTGTACTTTTCTTAATTTTACCTTGCACATCTATCCTTTTGATGCTTATAGTATAGTGATGTTTTTGAAACATTTTTTAAGTTGCGGAAAAGTTGCAAAAAGAACACAAAGCCTGCCACATTTATATACAGCTAGGCTTTCTGCTCCTGTAAAGATTCACAGCCTCGGAAACCCTGTACAGGGTTGCTATGAGTTGGAACCGACTCCACAGCACAATAACAACAACAACAACAGTACGTTGCTTAATGTCCACTACTGAAAAATCTGCTGCACAGTGTCTCTCTAAAGTGCTCAAGAGCAAAGATGTCACTTTGAGTAATAAGGTGCGTTTGACCCAAGCCATGTATTTTCAGTAGTCTCATATGTATGTGAAAGTTGGAAAATAAGTAAGGAAGACCATAGAAGAATTGATGCAATTTGATTTATGGGGTTGGAGAAGAATGTTAAAAGTACGGTGGACTGCCAAAAGAACAAACCAATTTGTGTTATAAGAAGTACAGCCATAATACTCCTTGGAAGCCAGGATGGTGAGACTTTTTGTCTCTCATACTTCAGACATATTATCAGGAGGGACTAGTCCCTGAAGAAAGATAATCATGTTTAGTAAAGTGGAGGATCGGCAAAAAAGAGAAGACCTCCAATGAGATGGAGTGGCAGAGTGGGCAGCAGTAATGCACTCTGGCGTCACGACGATTGTGAGAGTGGTGCTGCACTACAGTGTTTTGTTCTGGTGTGCATAGGGTTGCTGGGAGTCAGATCCTGCTAGACAACACCTAAGAACAACACTGTGAAATAAGATGTTGTATGATTTGAACATTGTGCAAATACCATATTATAATTGAATCCTGCGTCTTCTATCAGTATCTCAAACATGTTTTTTGATTTAGCAGGGGTTTTCAGTGCTCTGTGAGCGATTTGCTTTTGTGTTAGGGCGTCAATCCACATTATTATCAATTGCTCCATATCTAATACATGCTCCTCTCAAATTTTTATCAGCCTTGTAGCTTTAGTGGAGCTACCTAAAACAGCTTGGAGATTTTTTATTTTTTTTTAGTGTGGATCATTGTGATTGTTGAGTGCATCATGCTTAAATCATGAGTAATCACTAGTTTTCTACCTCAGTTTAATAACCTTTTGCTTCAATTCCAAATTGATATTTCCCTTTTGTCTTTTGATGTTGCTATTTCTAGCATAAGTTTTCTTATATTTAAAACTTGTGATGCACTTTATGGTTACATTTTTAAGAGAAAATGAAACAGATAATGGTACTGTACTAACAGACACACATTAGTGATATTGTATGCATGATGCTGCTGTTTATGAATTTAAGCATATACTGTTATATGGTAGACATATTAGGTAGAGAATTATTTTCATAAACCATTAACATAGATGTTTATTTTGATTTTCAAGACATATGTGTCATAGGTTTTGTATGTACTCTACCATTGTACACCTGGTAGTGCAATCAGTTTGTATACAAGAGACATGAAATACACGTTGCATGTACAAAGCTCTTGCACCATGTGTTTCTCTCATAACCTGTGGGAACCACAGAGATATTTGCAGTCAGGTTGCTTTAATGGGTGTTATCCAGTACATGGCTGTATGCCCTTTATTTAGAGTTACTGATAACATTTCCCCCCATCTGCTAATTTGTTATTTACTCTCTAAAAACGTTAAGAAAAAAAAAAAAAAAAAGAAACCAGTTCTTGTCGATTTGAATCTGACTCATGACGACCTTATGTGTACAAAACAGAAATGTAAAAGTTTTTTCAGTGGCTATAACCTTTCGGAAGCCAATTGAAATCTAGTCCTTCCTTCCGAAGTGCTTCTGGGTTGTTCTAAACTATCAAACTTTATTACTAGTTGTATGCTTAACAGATTTCACCAGCCAGGAATTCCTACTCTCTATATCACTATAGTTACTACCTCTACCCTTCAGTATGTGAATGTGTATTTCCCAAGTATAAGACTAGCCTTTTATGTAACCATAATAAAATTATTAAAATACCGTCCTCGAATTCCACTTTAATACCGTTGGGTACTCTCCAGTCTCCAGTTTTATTTTTAAGCCCATTAGCAATAGAGATGAATGAAATGAATAATTGAGTTTGCTTTATTTCTTCAAGGAAATTTAATTATATGTATTTTCAAAAAACAAAAGAAAAGTCTCATTGTCACTGAGTTGATTCTGTCTCATAGTTGTTGTCGTGTGCTGTGGAGTCGGTTCCAACTTATAGGGACCCTGTACAGGATTTCTGAGGCTGTAAATCTTTACAGGAACAGAAAGCATCCTTTCTCCTGCAGAACAGCTTGTAGTTTCTAACTGCTGACCATGAGATTAGCAGTCGGATTTGTAACTACTACTCTACCAGAGCTCCTTTCTGCCTCATAGAGACCTTTATAATACAGGGTAGAACTGCCTGTAGGATTTCAAGGCTGCCATATGTTTCTTCTTTAGAATGGCTTGTGGAATCAAACCACTGACCTTTGGGTTCTTAGTCGAGCACTTAACCCCTGTGCAACCAAGGTGTCCTTTAATTTTCCTTATCAGTTTTAGTTGTCTGAGTCCTGGTGTGCCACTGAAGAGTACGCACTGAACCACAAGGGTTGTTATGAGTAGGAACTGACTCGACAACATTTAACAGCAACAGTGCTTTGTAAACAACAATATATTGAATGCTTAAAAAGCAGTATTATAATTTCCATTGTTTCAATAGACTGTGATAGGTAATGAAAACTATTATCAACTCAATTTTTGAAAAATTGATGAAGATGAGACTTCTTGGAATTTTACAAAAGTGCCAGGAAAACAAAAAGATCTATAATATAGATCTAGTAATGAGAGTTAAGGAGCTCTGGTAGCATAGTGGTTAGGAATCAGGCTGTTAATCTCACGGTCAGCAGTTCAAAACTACCAGCTGTTCTGTGGGAGAAAAATGAGGCGTTCTGCTCCCGTAAAGATTTACAGCCTCGGAAACCCCCGTACAGGGTTGCTATGAGTTGGAACCGACTCCACGGCACTTAACAACAACAACAAATGAGAGTTAGGACTTCTGGTGTGTTATTGTAGGATTAGCACTGGACTGTGAACCACAAGGTCGGTAGTTTCTTGGAAACCTTATACAGATTTGTTATGAGTTGGGACCTATTCGACGACACTTAACAACATTGGAGTTGTTGTTGTTAAATGCCGTTGAGTCGGTTCCGACCCATAGCGACCCTGTACAGGGTTTCCGAGGGTGTAAATCTTTACGGGAGTAGAAAGCCTCATCTTTCTCCCGCGGAGCGGCTGGTAGTTTCGAACCGCTGACCTTAAGGTTCGCAGCCCAATTCGTAACCACTACGCTACCAGAGCTCCTTAACATTGGAGTTAGGAATAATGAATAAGATAACGAGGAAAACTGGACAGTAGGCTATAAATAATAAACTCTCAAATAAGATTTTTAGGGCTTAATTATAATAATAATTAGTATACTGTTGTTGTTAGTGCCGGGGAGTTGGTTCTGATCCACAGCGACCCATCCTGTACAGGGTTTCCAAGAAGCAACTGCTATAAATATATTTAAATTTGATCATATGCAACTGTAACTTACAATTTTTAGAATAAAATATATAAACCAAAGAAGCAGAGGCAGTTTAATT